TGTTACTTAAATATTCTGCTCTCGGGCCATCACACAGATGAGGAACACATTTCAATATTTCGCAAACAGAAACCAGTGAAAATCTGTTACTTTCCCTTCCTCAGCCTTGCAAAAAAAACAAAAAAGAAAACCACACGCACCCACACAAAATAAATTGATACATATGGCGGAGCAGAGGCATCCGAATCAAAACAAATCTCACACCACATGACGGGGTCACGATCCCTCCGAAGTGACGGATACCATTAATCTGACAAATATGACAAGACGTGGGTGTGATCTAAAAAACATATGGATGTATGACACACGGTAATGAGGGAATGGGGCAGACGTGCCGCCTGCTCATGTGAGCCAGGAGCAGAACAAAGGTAATGAATAAATAACTTAGCCCGTCGTCGAGTTCGAATGATGAATCTACTTCCTAACGCTCGGTGATGATGGCTGCGTCAGGCTTTCTTGAACCTCTTGATGAAAAAAGGGGCCCATGAAAATGTGTTCACTAGAAGGTCTCCCCGCCCTCCGCTGTCTCCACTTGCACCCACTCCTCCCACCCCCGTCCCTATTATTTCAGAAAGGCGGTAAATTAAGCGGGGGAAAAGCCTGTTGTGAAATTCTGTCATCTGATTCTGCCTGCCTTTAATAAGGCTTTCCCAAAGGCTGAGTTCAGACTCGTTTGATGATGAAGACGCAGCTCCCAAGTGCCTGGCATTGACAGCTCCGACGCTGCTTTTTAACACTGTGCTGTTGGTGCGCAAGGTGTGTATCAGCCCACTAAAATGTGGCACACAGCATATGGACCTCGGTGGCTCTTTGCACCGTGGATCGCTGCCTGCTCATGCATTATAGAATTTGGCACAAATATGCAAATGTGGGCATTAGCCTAGTTATGGCTCTGTACTGTAAGTTACAGTGACTTATCTATTATGTATGAACCAAGGATGGGAGTAAAAAGGTCCTGGCAGCCGGCAGCTTCACGGCCCCTCTCTCTGTCATTTTTTACATCATGAAAAAGCATGAATCGCAGGAGGGGAGGAGGGGAGGAGGGGAGGAGTGCTCCAAAACGCCAGCATCTCCGAAGACTTGGGAGAATTAGAGCTTGCTTCCATGGTCGATTGCCAAGCTACTTAAAATAACAATGGCTTCAACAGGATTTGGAGGCCCGGGAGATACGTAGGGGAATACGCATGAAGTTGTTGCTAATCCTCCAATTTCCCCCCACAAGGCTGATATGAAATTCTAGTCTGATCAGTAATCAGTCCACAGGGGAGGCTGACAGGAGATCCAGCCAACTCCACAGGCGTGCGCAGAGATCCGCCCGTGTATGACATTACCATCATAATGCCGGATGAGTGATTGTACCCGGGGTAACCTAATCACTGCGGTTTAAATATCCAAAATCAAGAAGCCAGCAGAGGCGAGAAAATCGTCGAGGTCAAACGGCTCGGCTTCGAACGCACATATTCTGCTCAGTCCGAGAGCGTGATGAACATGTCCCGTCGCTCTGAAGACTGACAGAGCGATCATCCGCTCGGATCAAAGTCAGTCATCACGCACATGACAGCTGACAGCTTCTATTTAAAGAGGTGCTCAGTAAATGATGATACCTGGTCCTGGTGAACCTGGTCGCGATGGGAACAAGAGCAAAACAGTCCTCCACACTGTCCCACAGTCAGCAGTCCTGCTCGGTTCTAACAGGAGAATATTTGCTAAAGTTGAACTGAAAGTTGAATTCTACTCACTTAGTGTTGGAAAGTATAAACTGTGATGATATTATTGCTGCTTTTGTGCAATTTACCATTTTTTCAAATCATTTTTTGGACATAGAGGTGTCTAAGCTTCAGAGCGCTGGGATACGCCGTCGGTGTTGTGGTGCGCTAAAAACTAGCCAAACTAGTCCGTTTTTCCTCTTTTTTAACAAGCACACACATACCGTATGAGTTAAGATACAACTTGTTGTGCAGCTGTTGCAACACAAATTGAGAAGCAGGGTTGGGCGAGTCGACAAATATTTTTGGCTTTTGACAAATGGCTGCTCACAAAATGCTCAGCAGGGGAGCAACGGCAGAGAGAGACAGCGCCCCCCCCCCACCAAGCTGTCTCGCTGTATTTGAAACGTTTGTCCTTTTACAACATTCAACATGTTGAGTTTGTATTCCACTCTCAAAGTGGAAGCTAGCACTTTTTTACATTATTTCAACACCTGCGGAGTCATTGTTAGCTCCCCTAGAGCTCAATGCCGTGTACATCTCACATTATGCAAAGCAGCATTAGCGGGTTTTTTCTGTCATAGACTAAATTTTGAAGATGACAAATGACCATACTTTCAACACTCTACAGTAATCTGTAGTTGGTTAAGTGCCTGTGTGGAATTACAGCGATATTACAAACTATTTTTAGTGCCCGCCCGCACACATATGGCACCAATGAGATGACAGCACTGAACAAAAACCAACGACCCTTGGAGAACATAAATGTACGAAACTAATTTCCATTTCTTCCATTCAGTAATTGCAATTTGGACCAAATAAGCATTTTAGTCAAAACAAACACCAAGGATATGTACTCTTCTGAACAAAACTTTAATTTAATTTCAGTCGTACTTTGCTAGAGAAAGGAAGGCCTTGAGATGAGAGCTCTTTTGTCTTCTAAGGGACAATCAACCAACCCACCACCAGGAGAAAAAGTAAATTTGACTACATTAGTTTGCATTTTAACAAACAGCCCTGCACGCCTCAGCTAATGGTTGCCATCCTTTAATTCAAAAACATAACCTCACCAAACATTCCCATTTGTTTCCTTTTGCTCGTGATTGGGGAAAAAAACTTGCAGAAGAGAAAATGCACTTTTGTCTTGTTGTTCTTCTCTTCCCCCCCCCCCCCCCCCCTCTTTGCTCAAGTGGAGCCAACTGGATAAACTCCATCAAAACAAAACATAATAACAGGAAATTGAACAAAAGAAAAAGGTTTGTCCCTCCGCCACCTCCTCCTCTGCCTCTTCCCATCCTTCCCACATTAAACTCTCCTGACATTACGCTGTAACGTCCACTGCCCCTGTTTATTTATCTGGTCATGAATCACTGAGACACCTTTGGGTTTTTTCCTCGTGGATTTAGAAATCACAACGTCTCCCTGGACCACCATCGTCTTTACAGTCGCATTCATAAAGACTTTCAGGAAAATCCCGTCCAGCCCGCTGCCTTCCGTCTGGCTTCAACCGTCGCTCACACGTTTGGTTCCAGGACAAGCTAAAGCAAACAAAGTATCTGTCCCCAGTTTAGCTTCCAATAAACAGTCGCCCAATTCATGTTGACTAGTCGGGTATGAAAATAATGAGGGCGACCCCTCTTCAACGTTGACCCTTTGTTTATCCATCTGTTTCACACTTCTTCTGACCAATTTAATGTCTCAGTTGCCTTTCAGTTATGATTATGTTTGCATCCATTGTGTTGCATGTGTTATTTCTCACTTTTAACCCATTCACAATTTGCCTAAGGATTTCTGCTTAAGCTGTGTTTATATGTTTAGCACAGATCTTTCATTTTCAAGACATTTGATATACATTTATTTATTTTTCTAAAGTGAATGTGGCCTGATGCTTACTGACCGCTGATGAATAAAGTACAGCATAACATACACGTATTGTACACAGCCTCTCAGCGCCAGCCATATGCACTCTCAGGGCCGCTGGGTGCTGCCCAGATGACTAAAGACTGCAAAAGAATGGATACTATTTTAAATACCGGCCAATTAAAGCCCACTTTGAAAGATGGGATGAGGCTGCTGCTGAGAAACGGCGTGTTTCATTTGAATTTCATCAGAGAGCTTCTCCCAGTCAAACACCCGAGGGCATACATCTTCAGTCGGATGTGGGTGGAGGGTTTGGGCAACTGGGTTCAGGGGGTTAGGTATAGATCCCTTAAGCTACACACATCAAAATCCAATATATGTGTATTCTAATACACACACCGGACACATAGCTGAGTAGGCTTTGTAAAAACACTTCATTATACTTCTGTATTTGCCTTAACTCTAAACCAACCACGAATCAAAGTGACCATCCGGTGTGTTTTGGAGTCGGTTTAACACTGAATATCGAGGGACGGACATTAGCTTTCCATTAGCCTTTGGTAACATTTGGTGACCGGCAATTACAAACATTGGCTAGGGACACATTTCTCGTAGATATTTCTTCAATGCCTTTGAGAAACGCTGCAGCTAGAAGCAGCAGCAGCTCACACAAGCCAACACCCACATGCTCATAATTAAAGGTGAATTGCACAGCCTGTGGCAATTTGCATGCTGTGACGTTGGTGCAAGGCTGCTGGAATTTCACCAGATAGGTCTGTCTGACAGCAGATACAGGGGGGGGGGGCATCACATCACCTACACATTTCAACAAGAGTACGGAAGTGGCAATTGATGCATTTGCCCTGTGACTTACTGTATTTATCTCCAATACATCTCCAGCATTAGAGGTAGAACTTACGTGTGTTTGAGCTTGCTTGTTATTTGAATCCAATTTAAAAGCACTAACTTGTTAGATTTCAGCCCGAACTTTTAATGCACGTGAAGTTGATTTGTTTTGCATGGCATACGATCTAGTGAAGATGCCTCTCTCGTGAGCCTATAAAATTAAATTAAATTCATCGGATGTAGCATTTTTAATTAGTTGAATCAATATTCTATTACGGAGGATTTAAATGTGATCTGCAGGGAAAAAGACAAGGCAACTCATTTCACACGAACAAATGAGCATGTTGCAAAATGTCAGAGATTCCGCTCGCTGCGAGTAGATGCTGGGTTTATTCGAGCTCAATAAATCTCCCGTGAATGCAAAAGCATAAAACACTCTTTTGTCAAGACGCATGGGGATTGTGTTGCGTGAAAGCGCGCGCGTGTGTGTGTGTGTGCGTGTGTGTGTTGGGTGCGTGTGTGTGAGCCGCCGTGTCGTTCTCGAGCGGTGTATTTCACACAAAGTGGAAGAAAGAAAAATGTGGTTACCTCGCACGGGGGTTTCGGGGAGGGTCTCGGCGCGCCTCTCGGGTTCGGGTTGATCTCAGGAGCAGCGGAGGAGAAGGAGCAGGATGATGGTGCTGATGCTGCCGAACCACGGAGCGCACTTTTGCGCACTGCCGGTCCACATAGAGGAAAAGCGTCCGTCTCTCCTCGCGGCCACTCTCATCACTGACTCATTTGAGAGCAGACACAATGAGTTGGGGTGGGGGTGGGACGGAGTCCTCGTTTATTCAAAGCGGGCAGCTCGACTCCGTCTCCGCGACTCGCGCAGACGAGCCTGTGCTGTGTGTAGAGAAACGCAGGGAGAGTTGTGCCCAAGCCGCTGCTTTGCGTAGCAGACAGGAGGGAGCGGGGAGGAGCCGTCTGCCGTCAGATGATCAGGACAAGGTGCGCATCCCCAGCCTGAGCAGAGCTGCACATCACTTTAACACAGTAATCCCTATCTGATCATCTACTTCCTACATGTATATTGTGTTTGGCCTGCAGGAATGTGGCCAGGTGATACGTTTTTATAGCATTATAATAAAAACACATATAGGAGCCATAGGAAAATTAAAGGGGCAATGAAGCGATTTTCCACACACGGTTCAGTTTACTCGTCACAAGGCGAGACAATGTTCTGACTCCTAACTTGTGTCAAATACAGCGGCTTGGTCAGTGAGCCAATGTATGTGGCCCCAGTTGTGAGTCGAGTAAAGGTGGAAGGCATGTTGTGTAGTTTAAAGAGTGATGAACTCTGCTGACACAGGACTTTCACCCAGGAGGCTGATGTTCATGTTCCATGTGAAGCTAAAATACGGCATTGTCTTATTTTAACATTTCATTAGGCCAGTTTGTCGCCTACGTACTGTGGTCTACTGAACTACATCAAAAACCCGAACCGCGACCTTTTCCTAAACCTAATTGAATAGTTATTAATGCATAAACCTAAGCAAGTTGTTTCCTGTGAACACATACGTTTATTTTGAAAAGACAGCGTATGCACGTAACGTGTGGTAATTTATGCGCGCAAACCTGACCAAGCTGCCGTGTTTGATTTGGGACTGAGAGAGTGTTGCAAACAACCCTGATGACGTCATCAGGGTTAACTCAGCTTGGGCATGAGCCTCCATAACAATCTATACCGTGCGGTTTGGGTTTTTTTTAATGAAAAGATCCAATTGAGTTGCATTGTGAGAATTTTTTTGGACCATGAAACAATCTATCCCAAACACTGCCCTTATCAGATCCATCCATCCATCCGAAGTGACAAAGTAAGCAGTTTGAACTCTCTCTCTTTTTTCATTCTTTACACATACATTTCTTTGTTGTGTGTATATTCAGTACACATTATTATAAAAATACATAAATGCCTTCCAGGATAGAACCCCTGAAAGTGTGCACAGCTATGCCCGTATTTAAAAGATATAATCAGGTCTTGCCCCTCTGTTTGACGACAGGCTTTTTACCGCTTCGAGTGTTTCCATTCTAGCAGCAATGAACAGCAATGAGCAGTGCTCTGTACAACTTGGTTGGGACCCGGAGACCGTAACGGTAATAGCCCATGATTTACATCGTTCAGCGAGCCCTCGACAAATGCCTCATCATAGGATGAGTGTGGTCACTGAGAATAACTTCGTATTGATTCGACCTCGAAGCATCTGCATTCATTACCATTATATTCCTCCACTCATTTATTCAGGTTTTTCCTTTAATGTGTCACCAGTCTGTACTTAGTGTACAGGTTTTGCACAGGAACGTGTGTGCTATCGTACAAATGTGTTGAACGGTGCATTATAAGACAGTAGGGAGGTATTCTTTGCCCGTTACAGATTCAGACTTATCCCCTCACAGGTGGGACATAATGTCTGAAAAAGACAAAGCTCTGTTACAAAGAAAGAGACAGCTATGCCTGGGAGCGACATACGAATCCAATGGACGTGTGTGTGTCTAACATCCCTGTTGACCATGCTCACCACTTCCTACAGGAGACTGTCTCAGGATCCAAGCTGTAGGAGCCGGATGGCTACAATGAGAGCCAAATAGAGGGCAAGAGAAGGCCGCATTCATATTTCAGCAGCCCGGTCCACCTTCAGAGAGCGGGGGAAAGACAGAGGTCACATTTGGCTACTTAAAAATGCACGATGATTGTAACACAGAAGATGACAGCCGCATGTAAAAATGAATGCTCAGAAATGGCGACATTGAAGAAGCCGAGTCAGCACCAGCGAAGCTGATGTGGGAATCTGAATCCTATAAAAAAAGAAGTTGAGCTTTAATTGAGCACAAATGAGCCCTTTTAAGTGATGGGATAACACTTTGGGGAGTGGAAACTAAAATCCTGCCCTTCTTGATAAAACTTAATGCTGTGCTATATAAAAATGTTAGGAAATGGGAAATCTAGGACCCCAAGGGTTTCTGACCCTATTTTGTGTAAGAGATGGAAAAGTGGCTGGCTGTGCTTTAAAGCGTGCAGATGTATTTGATAATTTATCAGGCGCCAGTTCTCCGTGCAGCAGTGATAACCTGCAGCCCACAGCCGGCAAGACACCTTGAGTCAAGAGGTCTGGAGCTCAATATCAACTTTTCATACTGACTCAATGGTGTTTTGATGGATAAAGGCAATATTTGAAAAATCACATCTTTAATACCGTTAACTTTTCAGGGGAGAATCCAACATTAAATCTGCAGTGCAAGCCATTATTCATTGAAAGGTATTTTATGACTTTCATGATCATTTCATAGCCTGCTTGTTCTCATCACTTTTAGTTCATTTGCAGATGGATTATTTGTGACACTGACCCTCACATGGGTTTAATCGCTTGCCGTAGCTCTAATCCAACAAACTCTTTTCATGTCATTTCAGTGTTCCCCGTTTGTCACCGCTGAGCGTTGTGTAATCTGCCTCCACGACACAATGTGCAACCAGAGAGCTGCACCGGCGCTGCTCAGACGTGTCCCGTCCTGCCCTGGAAAAGACTCCCGCTGATGAAATTTTCATCGAGCAGATGAAGCGGAGCGTGCTTTCATAATCCTCCGGTGAGTTGCATCAGCTTGTTCTGATATTGTTCTATCAAGACCCTCTAAGAGCAGACTTGATGTCTTGATGGCTGAGCGATCCCGTTCTGTTTGTGGACGATCCTTACCAAGGTGTGTTGCAGCTTTCCAATACATGCATAGCGACTGAGATGTGGATACATTTCTCTTCCCTCAGGGGCCTTTTATTGGCCCTTAAAGCCGGGGTAGGTCGTGCATTTTTGGGTGAAAATTTCATAGTAACCTTTTAGCATATTGTTCTAGTTTTACCCAAGCGTAGGCAACATAAAAAAAAGCCATAATTTGAAAATACGGCCCTCATTTTGCAGGATTACCTTCTCTGTCCTAACCTGTACGAGTAGTCAAACCGTGATTGTGATGGCGTTGTGTATCAGCAAATCTATGAGAACTACCATCATATTTCTTTGTAAACTTGCGGGCCAGTAAATCCCTTTGAGATGACATATTGCGATTCGGGGCTGTAGCGAGCTACAATATTATACATAATATATATATATATATATATATATATATATATATATATATATATATAATATAATATATACAAAGATGGAGAGAAAATGTGTCAGACTCTATTTCAGTCTCTCTTTTTGAGAAGTCTGTCTTCATTGTTTTGGGTTGCTTTGCAATGTTGATGCCAATGCTAAATTAGCACCTTTCCTCAAAGGATATGCATTTATAGAACAGCCAATAGGAATGCCTTCTCTCTAGAATGACCTGTGATTGGCTAGATTTTCTTAAGCCTAAAAATAGAGTCAAGAGGAGTTCCAGAAGTCTAGTTTTCTCTCAGACCACATTTGAATTACAATATGCTGACAGGTGATTATGGGTTTCTTTGCCCAATTGCACCTTCCCCAGCTTTAACTGTCAATACAACAGTGCTTTATGGTTGAAGTGACGAAAGAATGACCAACTTTGAAGAAATGTCCATCGGGGGCTCGGCTGCTGAACTGCTGCAGATATTTGAACAACAATGGTTCCTCTAAAAGAGTGTAATCGTGGGATGCATCTATAAGTGTTACTGCAGGGACTCGAGCTTCCCCATTGCTTCTTGATGTGCAGTGTTTATAAGTGAAATCCTTGCAGAAGTGTGGGTTTAAAATGAAATGCTGACTCAAACATGTAGAGATGCTGGAGACAGAGATGGTGATACATTCAGTAATATATCATAACTAATTCCTGTATTTCCTTTTGAGCACTTTTGAAAAGTTAGAACGTTGTTTACATTGCCTCCAACGTGCTCGGAGACTTTAATGTGGAAGTAAAAATAATGAAATGTTTCTATTGCTTTTGGCACTGTGTGTCTTGCCAAACTGTGGCATGCACTTCATGTTTATTTAAACATTTGGAAATCAGAGAAGGCTTTTGGTTAACGCTGGGCCAATATGATGTGTTCCATTACATTCCATGTCGATCACAGTCACAAAGGTTATATTTCCACTATATATTTCACACTCTTGGAAAATGGGAATGTTTTTTGATGCCATTTTTTATTTTTTTAAATATTGGATGAAGTCATATGAAGGTGTGTTTCACTGGTCAAATTCCTTGCCAATAATGTACGCTTCAGTGTTTTTTCAAGTCCGTGTATATTCGCTTAAAAACAGCCGATGTGCTTTAACTGTACAGATGTTTTGCTGTCCCCAGCTGGCAAAGTACACACCGGCTTTGTGTGGTTGTGTGTTTGTGTGACGGCATACACACTGTCTGGTCTCATGAGTGTTTAATAACTCACCGGAGACTCCAATTCTTTCCGTCATACTTCTCTGGTTTCTCTCCTTTTATTATCTTGTCTTTGTACGAGGTGGAGCCACTCAACCTCAGTTGCTCTGGTTGAAACATTTTCAAGTCATGCAGCGTTTCACCTTAATGCTGCATTAATCATTTCCATCACTTGGGAACAGCAGACATATCACCTTGTAAAGTTGATGGGATAAGCAGGAGGAAAAACAAAATCTACAGCGATGGTACATAAGCATTTGGAGTTGTGTTTCTGGTCACCTGACAAAAAATACCGTTCGCTCTCCTTTTACCTCTGCTATGGTCTCCACCAACCCCTTAGGCAATTAGAAGGGGAATATAGCGCATTTAGACAGTCAGATATTTTACTGTCACTTGTTTGGTGCTGGGACAGTACACTGGGATTAGCTTTCATTTTTGTCTGTTTGTCATCTTTGCAGTAAACCACTGCCTGCTATGGCTAAAAAACATTGTGGAGTGGAGTTGCAGGCAGGAAAAACAAAAGCAACGAGCTTAAAGATGCATCACTCCATAGAGCTAGTAGGAACTTTGGATT